TAAATATCCGCGGGTACATTTGTACCGGAAATACGAGCCTTCGATTCGAGATGGGCGAAGCGATCAACTCTCGTAAACCGCAAACGTCAACGCTGTTGTGCAGACCATCACCCCAAGCAGCCACTAGCCTCCCTTGATGTTTACGCATGCACCATGGACTCGGATCAGAAGGCTGAGAGCCCGAACAATTTTGCCAAATGCGGACTCGTTGACCACACTGCGTAGTACTCGGCACTGAGTAGAAAGGAGATTTTCCATATGCGTTCTTCGCTGCATCTGGATTGGGGTACCAAGTCCTTCACGTCGTTTACCGGCATGGACGTAGCTGATCGAGGGGTCCTTGGGTAGACGTAGCCATCCACGAATATATTGCTTGATGTAGTTGTCCAATATTTTTAGCGTGTTCCCGTGAACTTGGCCGAGCACGAGTGGATAGGTCAGCCTCGATATCAGGTAGATCCTAGTGATATCCGTTCTTTATTGCGGCTTTAGCGGGACACGCGTCAATTCTTCGAGTATTTTGAGAAGGTGCTGTTTGTGGTTAAAGACCCCTTTCTTCTTGGAAGTTAAGGGAATGCCAAACTATGTTACGGTGTCTGTCGGACCCAGAGGGGTGATTATTTCCTCGGCGAAGCGAAATGGTTCGACTGAGACTGCTGTTACCCAATGTTTCCTGACTCCACAAATGACAATCACTTTCCTCCTACGGGGTTATATTTTCATGCCAGCTCTTCCCAACTCGACCGCAGAAGCTTCAATCTTCTCTTTAAGGCTTGCTTGACTTTCTGCACACACGACCCGGTCGTCAGCGATGGCAAAACCATCTACTTAAGCGTCATGGAACTGGTATTTTAATGGAGGCAGCATCGACAATCCATTGCCATAATGAATAATAATGGGGAGAGTGTATCACCTTGCCTCATACCTCTGTGGTAATCAACCTCAGAACTGGGAAATACTGCTACAGTATTCTGATGGTGACGGCGCTCCAAACACCTCGGCAGATCTGACGACTGTGTCATGCCAAACCGAATCAAACGCTTTCGAGTTACGAACAAACGTCAAACTGAGGTTAGAAGCAGACGCTGAAGAGTGAAGAAGCAGGGCATGCAACAGCGATGTGGCTTTCAAACAGCCGTATCGATGCAGAAATGCAATCTACGACTCCAGCGATCAGCAAGCACCTTATGGAAACAACGAACAAGATTCGGTGACACGGCGGTCGGTCTCAGTTGTTCTGGTGAAGTCGGAATTGGGACCTTCGGAACTAGAATAATACGGACTCAACACAGATGTAAGGGACAATTCCCAGATAATAAAAGTGGGTTGGAATATCCAGCGAGCAATTTGGCATTGAACCGCCGAAGCATCCTGCCATGAGCTTGTTCAGGCCTGAGGCCGAATTGCCTGTTAAACGGATCCCCGCATTCTTATCCTATAATTGGCTCGATCAAGCTCCAGTTAGATGGTATTACTATGCGACTTGGTCGGCCATCCACGTGTTTCCAATACTTCTCGGCGTCTATAGTTAGGCCTCAATTACCTTTGTATAAATCTTTCCATGACCCATCGGGCACAGCAGACGCTGCATCTTTCCATTTTTGGTAGTATAAGGTCTGGATGGCGGCGTATTTGGCTCGGCAGATCTCCTTTAGTTGACCGGGATCCACCAGATGATGATTCGTCCTGTTGTGCTTGCCAGTTAAGCACCCGTAACCTGGTTTTAATGCTGATGGCCGATCGACCAGGAAAATACTGCTCCAGTCTCGTGAACAGTTCGGTTTGCGTGCCACAAGATGGATATAAATTGTTAGCCAGGCGTAAGAGCGATTGTGGCTCTTGCTGGGACCAGCGGGTACCGGAATACTTCACTCGGCCAAGCTTATCTGCATTATGCTATGTGGGCTTTGTGTGCCGGCGATGTTGACTTCGGCCAATGTTCGTCGAAGGAAGACGGGAACAATCAGCGCAGGCCAACTGAGCAACAAACCACCACTTTTATTGTCGTAAATTCGATAGTGGGCTACAAAGCCAGCTTCCGATTTGCAGCACTTGCCACAGTCCTCAAACGTGAACCCGACGAGTCTTTCTGTGTATTGGTTGGGCCTGGTGCGGAGGCGCCAGATGATTCGTAGTATGCGTTGTCGAGAGTAACTAACACAATGAAACCAACATGGTGGTTATCTCTGTCCAGAGTTGATGAACACTTAGCTCACTCTGACTGAAGACCAGGCCACCCAGTCGGCACCACAAGGAGGTGGTTCAGCCCGCCGACTATCACTAATAAATATTGAACTAATATTGTTGCTGTTGCTTTTATGATTCTTTAATTACTTCGTACATTAATTATCGTTCATTTTTGAAGAGCATGGTTACAAAAGTGAAGTTGAATACAGCCGATAAATGTGAAGGTGATATAGGAGAATTCTAGACCAAACGGGACAAGCGGCCCACCCGAATTCGTGCCCCCTACAGTCACCCAAGATGCATCCAATCTACATTAGAATGTTTGGCATGAAAAGTCTCGTGTTAAGGCTATCAACAGAATAAAGGACAAACAATGGTTTACGTTCTTCAAAGAATGTTGGGCAACATCGCAGTGAAGTATCGCAAATCTGGCGTAAATTGACCGTCATGCTAGTTCTGATGTGGGAGTTAATGGCACAAATGTACACAAATGTCCCAAGTACGCAGAGATCTCAAAACCACAGGCAAATGCAAGTCACTCATTGTGAACGTAAGAAGTCCCAGTCCAAAAGCACTTTGGCGGATTGAGAAGAAAATGTCCCTCAATAAGTAATCATCATGGGGTTTATCAAAATTTTGTCATCACAGCCGATTGTATGTGGGGCTTAGATTATGGAAAGGGGACATTCATGCAAACCACACTTCTATTACTGGTTGTTGGTCTGTTCGCCGAGCTNTGTAATCACAGGTAGAAGAGGAGGAATTCACCCACTCAACCCTGCACTGACGATTTCACCTCGATTGGTGATGAAACGTTTGCAATCCAACTGCCAAGCTCGGCGAACAGACCAACAACCGAACAGCGCACCCAAGCTACCTACATTCCACAACATTGCTAACTTCCATTACTGTTTCTATTACCATCGCTATTACTGCTACCGTTGCTAGTATGATTGCCACTGCTCTTGCTTTCATTTTTTTATTTCTCCATTAACCTTTTCAGTTTTTTACAGGGCGCTTAGCTTTACTCACTTTAGGTTTATTGCATTTTGCTAGGTGCCCTTTTCGTTCATACTTTCTTGACGTTTCACATTGATCTGTGGGTAGCAGGATTTTTTTGATTGGTTTGTTCTTTCCAGTAACCTGGGTGTTTCAGTTTATTGGATTTGCCACCGTCTATTATAGTGTGATAGTTTACCATTCCGAGTTATCGGGACATAGATGTTCCCATTTAATGAAGTTCCATGTGACACCTTTAGCCTGTCATTTGCAAATTTTAATCGGACCGTGTTCTCACAGTTGTTGTTATTTTGTCTTTCTAAGCTAAATTTTATTTGGTGTGGCTATGGAGCATGGTGCTTGATATTTTATCGGCACTCATGTGGCTGCACTAGGTAGCATAATTTGGCTCTTTTAATCACGCCGTTATACTTGGAAATAACATCTGTCTTCATTGCAAAGGTACCCAACACTATTTGCGCTGTGACTATTATGTTATCGTTTATATTTAAAAGGTAACAATCACTGAATTCGAGCATTTTCACCCACGTATTTGTGTTTTCCTGATAAGAATATATGTGCTAATGCGTGGCATGCAATAAAGTGTGGTCTGTAGCTGCGTTATTTTGCAATTTCCACTTGAGCATGTCAATAGCTATTATTTTATTATTCTTAAATTCTGCGTGTGCAGTAACTTCCACTATTTTTACTCTGTGAATACATTGGCCTTTCACGGTTCTGAGTTTTTAAACTGCACACTTTCCTGCTCCGGGAAATATGTTTAATCGATTTGTGGCGTGGCATGCAATAAAGTGTGGTCTGTAGCTGCGTTATTTTGCAATTTCCACTTGAGCATGTCAATAGCTATTATTTTATTATTCTTAAATTCTGCGTGTGCAGTAACTTCCACTATTTTTACTCTGTGAATACATTGGCCTTTCACGGTTCTGAGTTTTTAAACTGCACACTTTCCTGCTCCGGGAAATGTTTAATCGATTTGTGGTTCCTTAGATCAAGCAATGTGGCGGAATGGTGTCGGGACTTTGATTTTTCATCGAAATACATGGAGCATGAAGGGGTTTACTGATATGCAAATTGTGTAACTACGAAATAATATGCGTAATAAAAGCAACATATAAGTACAAACGGGTTCTGTTTAGCGGTGCGGTCAATCAGAATGCTTGTAAAGCACTTGCATGGACATTTGTTTACAAAGTCCATCAACTATTTTGACCATTAAATCTTTTCATTTTCGTCAGTGGGAAGTAAACAAGGAAATATCAAGCAGTCATCGAAAATAGCCACTATAATCACTTCTAACATCAGCGGAACAAAATATGTTAAATGTACACTATGAATATGGCGGGGTAATAGACGTACAATCTGCTCTTACTTGGTATCCATTCTAGACCCTTCGGTATTTTCTAGTCTCATATAAGGCATTATAACCTCTCTGGAAATTATTTATCGGCAGTTTGTCCGCAAGCGTCCCTTAGCATAAGATTCCGGCTTCATGCTGTTTACCCGCTTAATAAATCCATCACCCTTGTCACCCTGTCTGGGATGTAGTAACGACAACACCACTAGATATGTCTGACCCATTTTACACTTTTGAGTTTTGAAAGCTTTATACAGTTCAGATTTTTTGGCACATCAAGATGTCTATTTTCTAACTTTTTTGCCGTGATGAGACAAGCATTTCTCCAGAATTCTCGTATGATATGTATATGCTAGCTAGAAAAATTCAGTACTTTGCGTCATCGCAAGTTGTACAACGACGAAAGGCTTACTCGAAAGAACGCTATTTGAAAACTATCTAAAAGCAAGCAGCTAGGGAAGGCGTGCGCACGGCTGAACAAATAAATTATTCCGGATTGGAGCTGAACAGTGTGCAAGATCGGCGGAAAGAACTACATGCACCTAATCAGCAACCGGAAACACCAAGGACAGTGTACACAGTCCTACAATAAATGAACAAACTGCATTTTGAGCACACACACAGGATAAGAATGTGTGGAGTAGGTGCAATTAAACTTTACTAGATATCTGTGGATGACGACAATCTATCAGCCAAATGCAGGTACCTAGTACAGGTTTTTGCCACCGTTCAAATGAGTTTAGGCATACTTCAGAGTTCGCTTGTTTGTCGCCCCGTTTATTCCCCTGGTCTAAACAAAAACCTCTCGGCTGAATGAACAGAATATGTGGAAAAGTGACTACACAGGTAGAAAAACCTTTCTAAATTGTCATACACGTGTATGCGTTATAGAATGTATATCGCAGTGAATATTTCAGTCAGTATTGATGGTTTGTTTCCAATTCTTAATTAATCAAACTAGAGTTTTCTACAATTATTTAGCAGTGGAAATCGTACATCTTTTTTTCATCATTTACAAGAAAAGCATTCATGGTACTGGACTGTTTGAGGTGTATCACATCTTTCAGAATAAAAATATTTTGCTAAATATTGGTTACTTCAAATGTGTTCTTAATCTGTAAAAATGAAATACTGGCAGTGTGGACAGGATTTGTGGTTCAGGCGAAACCTGTTTTGTAGACTTGAAACAGCTGGTTGCTTAAGCAGAGAATTGGTCTTTTTGCGTTTGTTAAGTCACTTATTTTGCTGCTTTCATCGATCTGCAATCTATGGGCTATGTGAAAATATTCAGCTATTATTCCTAAATCTTCCCTCATGACTTTCAGCGAAGGGTGTACCGGGTCCGTCTGTCAGTCCAGTGAAGCCTGTTGTGCCTGCTTGTTTTTCACAACTTTGATATTTCCAAATGGATTATTACAGGGTTTTTGGGATAACAGATGAAAGATACTAGATACGCAACATATTTGACAGGGGAGTTCTGGCTTCTTCTGCACATTTATTCGCTTTTTTGGATGAATCCGAAGCTTTCCTAACACAGCAATCCAAAAATTAATGTATCAGTTGAATAAAGTTGATTTACTTAAAAATCTAAGCAGAACTAACGCAGAAAATTGCGTTTGTTATGTTGTCAGATGAATCTAAATATGAAGTGAAAAGAGCCTACCTAGACAGTACCATTCGCTTTCACTTAGCAGAGCTTGCATTCAGCAGGATCACGGTGAATGTCTTTTGTGTCGACGGAACGTATGTGGACGTGTAAAAGCGAATAGGCCCATCTTACAACATTACAAGTGATAATGCAAAAACAGATCACAACATAAATGCATCAATAATTGAATTATCGCGGACACTGTCCCCTAATGTCCTTTTCTGGTTGAGTACTAGGATGCATCTGTTTTTCTTCATAGTAATTTTTGATCTACCATATAAATTTTCACTGGTTAGAACGTCAATTTTATACTGAGCTGTTTAATTTGATTTCACTTCAGTGATGAGTAGTCGGAACCTACGTACAAGTACAAATTAAGCAGTCTAAAGTACATTTGTGAGTGACATCACTTTTACCAGAAGTAGCATCGCAAAAAATAGAATTTTCATCCAACATTCCAAACAGCCACGAAAACCACGCACTCGTTTCATAGTAGTAATATATGCGAGCTTATTCTACGCGTTCTATGAGGGTTGGTCTACTCACGCTGTGTATTTTTGTGTACTGTCTTTTAATATAAGGCTACATCGAATGAAAAATATGATACATGTTACAAAAAGACGCCGAACCGATGTTCTTGTCTTTTGTCATATGCCTCTAAATGCCCGTCGCATGTGCCTTAAGATGACTAACGAA